AATGGGGAAAAACAGACAATAAATACATATTTAAAAAAAACCTAGAGTTCACCTAGAGTCCCCAAATTCCTAACTCCGCTTCTGCTATTAGGTACAACATTTATACAAGTATATTTTGAATATTTGATGGCAAATGTTATCAATAGGGAAAATTGGCTCTTACCCCCCATCATGACATCATTGCAGAATCTGAAAAGCACCAATAACCAGACTTTCGAAGTTGTTTTGGGCTTTTCCCATCTAAACAACTTCCTTCCTTTTAACCCAAATATAATGCCTCAAGTAAAATATGTGACGTCAGTGTCTCCAGAGGCGGCCTTAGGTCTAGAGTTGCATCCACCACCCAACCTGCTTCCTGCCTATTCACAACAAACTGATAAATCACCAGATCAGATTCCATGCACCCATTTCCAAAAGCATTACACACCAACTAACTCTACGGAGACTGGGTGTGCTAAGAACGACCCAATTATGTTACCTTTCAGCCACCAAATTGGGTTTTTATGAGTAGGAAAATACATGGACAACATATAACACTTTGTAAATCAGTCACAGGCCCAAGGGTTGCACCCATGGCGTCATTCGAACCAAAGCTGGCAGATCAGACCACCCCACAGGTCAAAGTTCAAATCTAAGGTGTTTAAAGAGGAGCTAGCACCCTCACCCAGCACGCAAACCTAGCCATGCCTGCCCTCAAAAAGGTAACCAAAACCACGGTTCCAACGCAACTGAGCCGACCAAGTGGAGTCAGGGAGGGCTTTATCACTTTCACATGCACCAAGTTGTACATATGCCATAGAAATCCTTCAAAATGTCTTGTTTCAGCTACTTAACAGATGTATGGGCCAAAGATGTGACTGGCTGGAAACAATAGGATTTATGTAGAAGTGTGATTCAAAACGGAATTAAGAAACGCATTTGTTCACACAGCCCATAAAAATGAATGAAACACAATGAAAAATAAAAAGAAGCAACAGAAAAAAATATTATGGTTTCATGATTATGGGGTCATGTAAGTACACCATAAAAAATATATGCACATTTTTTTAGATACTTAATTTTAGATATTTTCTTGTTTGAGACTAAATTAACTGACAAATACTCTTAAAGATGCTGTAGGTTGGATTTTTACTGTCATAGAAATGTGAAAAACAAAACAATTTTAAATGTTGCAGCGGTCCAAAGTTATTTCACTAGTGTGGAGTTTACCCGTGATGGGAAAGATGGACCAATAGTATGATAACTTGCACTTCCTGATTATCAGACAATAAAATGCCTTTCTAATTCGATGGCGGCAGCACCCTCAAGAGCAGCTTATTCAATATATCAGGACATTTGCCTGAAAAAACAGAAACAGTGAAACCAATCAAAAAATAAATAAAGTAAAAGTACATAAATGATAAAGCGCTGAAACATTTAGTTGGGTTAAGCTATTGAAGTGGCCTATTGTTTGAAGAGAACGAAATAGTAGAGGGAAAACGAGCTCCAACCACAAGAGGGCTTGGACACTCTATTTGCACAGTGTGGATTTCTGCATCAAACACATGTCTAATACGGGCTAAACAAGAGGCTTAACTAATCAAGTTGGAGGTAGTGTCTGGTTAGGGACTGATCCAACCCGGTAATAGAGTGCCAGGAATCAGAGGATTTACATGACAAAGATGACAAAGAACTGCTCTGATCCTCAAAGACGGACCAGATAGAAGAGAGTGGTAATCCTCAACTGCTCTCACAAGATGTTTCTAGCATGTTAAGATTTCACCACTGTATCGAAATATTTTGAAGCTATAATTTATGCAGCATCATCAACAAGCTGTGGGTAAATTGTTAGCCCTCATATCTCACATTAAGAAGGTCCTGTTTACGATACACAGGCCATGCTGGAGCTTTTGTGTTGAGTTGCATGATCTCACTGTGGCTGGACATTCTTCTCTGTGTAGTTTGAGTTCTGCATCAACCTAAAACACCCACACTAGGCTGCCTTGAGTCTTAAGTCCTGACAACACCTAGCATCTAAACAACATCTAAACTTAGACTAACTTTATTGATCCACAAGGGAAATTACTTGGACACAGTAGCTCCCACATCACAATACAGTATAATAACAAAGAGGTAATACATTTTAAATATGTAGCAAAAAATAGCAAGAGACTGGTGTCAAGAAAAGCATAATTATATAAATGTGTATGTACAAGTAAAAAATAAAATAGAAAAATAAGTAATAAAAAAATATCTCAGTTATATAGAAGAGCTCATAAGGAAAAGGCAAAGATGGTATGATGATTGACAAGACACAGGGTTATTCTATCTATTACATAAGGATGAGTTGTTGTACACTTGTATGTAGTATGGTATGAATGTAGTCCTGTATCTCTCACTGTCTGATCAGAGCTGATACATCTGCTGCCCACCACTCATGACAGGTTGCCTCAGCGGTATTGAAGGATGGGTCAAATTCATAAGACAAATTTCCATACGAGGAAGATTAAACGCACCTTAATAACTCTCTCTGCAGCTTTTAACTCTTTTTATAATAAGTGTTAGATGCTACATTCCCTTCAAAAGCATTTTTAATATAAGTTAAAAAGGTCTACTCTTCTGTTCGTACTTCTTCTCTTCTTAGTAGCATCAGGCTACAATAAGGCCAACATATGCTTTCTTCTAAAGGTCCCATCCCATACTTTTAGACGCCTCTGTCCTGGAGCACTTTGGCTCTCTCTGGACACGGGTAAATTGCTGTGCTCTGTATAAAGTGATGACAAGCTGTAAAAGCCAAAGCGACTGTGAGATAATAGAAAATGAGCCGGAGAGACAGAGAGGGAGAGTGAAGAAGAAAGCCCGAGGACGAGATGACAGATCGCGAGGCAGAGGTCTGCTTTTATTGGACTGTTTCTGGAAGCAACAAATGTTCCCTCAATTTTACAGGGGAAAATGTTCCCACAAAGAATTTAACAGAGTTTAGCTCAACCAAAGAAGAGACAAGAGAGTTTTTAACCTTTAAACCTGAAACGTGCAGGGCTAACCTTTGAGGGGATTCCCACATTAAGTCCTGTTCAGTCTTACGTGTACTACTAAACACAAGGAAATGCGTAATCGACAAAATTACAGGTCACTAAGGAGTAATTTAGTCACCATAACAAAGAGCGCATTAAACAGATCCAGGTCAGAGCCAAGGTTCACTGTGGGTAGACACACTCCAGTGGAATGTTTCTCCATAGAAGTTGTTTACAAAAAGCACACTGTATAGTTTATGATGTGTATTCACGAAATGTTTACGCTCACTACAACATGATTAAACCTTAACGGAAACAGTTACAACTGAGTGACAGCACATAATTGGGGAGGATTTAACATTACAGCTTGTTAAGTTCACAGCTGACACAATCCATATGGCCAAAAGGGCAACACGCAATAAGCATCACACAACATTCAGTTTCCAGCTTGGGCCGAGTTATAATAATACACTCAATTTTATCAACAGATTTTAAATAAAGACCAAATAACTATTATTACACTGGGGAGAATTTGCAGGGAATATTTCTTTTTCACAGACTCAAAAAAGCAACAGGTCCTCAAAATTATTATTATATTATATTATATTGTACTTTACTATAAAATATCAGAAAGTGACTTCAAGTATCTACCATTTTCTCACACTGATGGGTATTGTAATTATTCTGCAGCTGATTTATGGTAATACATACATAGGCCTTTAACCTCTTTACATGTTACCAAGCTATGCTAAAAACAAATGTAACTATAGCCATTTTCATCTTTTTTTCTCTACTGTTCACAAATTATTGGAGCCAACGCATTTAATAGCTATGAGTGTAATTTAGTCATTTATTTCCTTCTAAACAGATGCATTTTCTGTGGGTGGTCCTATAATGGATCGCAGAGGAATCATCTTTTTCAAAATTTTGTTATTTGTTGTTTTTCCACCGCATTATTATTATGTTATGTACTACTTTCACAACATATTTTTGGTCTGACGGGCACAATCAAGTTTAAATGTGGTATCTTATCTTAATAGACCAAGGTAGTTGTAGTATATATGTATTAGCAATAGTGTATTAGATTAAATAGATACAAGTCATTTAATTTAGTTTTTATTTTATTTTGCATTGATCTCAGTAGACCCTCATTCCTGAGAGTCTCATGGAGAGTTAGTGATAGGTCTGGAAAGATCTATGTGGGTCCAGCCAGTTTCTACTTGTCCTGGCCCTCTTCTTCTCACTTGTCCTGGGGCCTTGGGCAGTGTGTCCAGTGGAGGCCTGGACCCACACACTCCAGTTTTGGAGGGGGTCCTGGAGTTGGACCTTCATGATTACATCTTTGGGCTGAGCAGGTCTCTGCTGAGGCTGAGTTTGCATCAGCTTAGTGTGCAGCTTCTGGACTGGTTGCTGCTTGTACTGGTTGACCATGTCTTTATTGGAGCACCCATCTGTTTCTTGTAGAGTTGATTGGATACAATTTGAATCCAACTAATCCAATTGACGCATGTTTCACTAATTTATACATCTCTCCTGGGCCCTATTTGAACCCTCCTTATGGTAAGATTCTGTCCACTGCTAAGCCCGCAAGGTTATGTCATCAGTGCTCCCACATGACAGTTCTCCATAAATATACAACATACATCTTGACAAAGCTGATGCAGTGTACTGTAGCTTAGTTAGTGGGATGTACACTGATTGTGTTGTGGTAGCTCTCTGAATTGAGGGACTCAGAGTCTCAAAAACAAACGTGAAACATATCAAAACATATTTTGTTTTTTGCAAAAATAGCATTTATAATAAAAGGTGACAAGGTGATCTAAGTTATGTGTTAACAGTTAATACCTCATAGAAGCAAAATACCGTCTCTTTAAAACACATCACTTTGTCTTGCTAAAATACATCTATCACTGTTTACAGACTACACCACCATAGTTAACTGAAATCTCTTGTTACACAGCAGCCACCCTGTAGTTCTGGAGTAAAGTTTTGTTCCTCCGCCCTCACCTGCTCTTCCCAGCCTCCCTTACTGCTGCAGTGGTCATTTCCCTGGGGGACAGGTGTGCCACTCAGGCCTCCTCCTCCTCCCTGGCACTATGGGCAGGTGTGGGGTGGAGTGGCCTCTCAGCGACCTCCTCTACCTCCAGGTGGTGACTGTTCTTATTCCATCAGCCATCTGCCAAAGCCCCACCTGCATCTGGACACAATTCATTAAAAGGGGATAGAGAGTAAATAAGACAGATTTCAATTATCAGTGAGTAGAATAAACATTTCATAAACACTGCGAAAACATTGGTTATCTTGGTTTGAACAGTCTTGTATTGGATGTTTAGATTTATGAACTTATTAACATGAATCAGTGGCTTTAACAATATTCACACCTCCATTTTCTTTGTCTAGAAGCACCTGCAGGTCTATAAACGGGATTTGTTCTAACCTAGAGGAGTACAAAAACATAAACGCATTTGTCTCAAAACTAACTAACTATAATCTGAGAACTACAGAGGACCTTGCATTCCACCAGGAGGCACCTGCATACGACGCTGGCTGAAAGACAAGCGCTCACCTCACAGCAAGAAGTTCTCAGGTGTGACTCTTGGGCCATCTTGGGTTTCTGTGCAGTTTGCATGTTTCACCACGTGTCTGGGTGGGTTTCCAGGTACTCTGGTTTCCCTCATTAACCTAAAATATACACAATGGGTAAAATCCTCCAGCTAAGGTAGTCCTGACCAAGCTTAACTCATTTACTTGAAGGTACACTGTGTAATTTTTCTGGTAGAGGTTCCGTCACCTGCTTGTCTCCATGGAGATGTTGCCTGGAATATTCCAAAGTATGACATTATGCTTATTTATCTCTACAGAGACAGCGGGCGATGACATAGGGGCAAGTTACATGTCAGATCTTTGGAGAGGCAAACCTGCTGCACACTTTTTAAGTCAATAAATACCCATGTTATTGCCATGCATGATGGATATATTTAATGCCATATCTGGGCATTCTAGACAAAACATTAATTTCTCCATGGAGAAATGCAGATGGCAGACCCTCCACAAGAGAAATTACACAGTGCACCTTTAACAGCACACATTACTGAACAACCAACAGACTGTAAACAAATAAGCTGAAATTTAAATAAATAAATGACAAATGTATGGAGGAAGTATACATCGTGAGACCAGTTACTGCTTGCAAATATAGTCAGAGAGAATGAGGGTGAATGGGTTGAAGAAGTTAAAAGCAGGGACTGTGCTGCAGAGCCACACAGAAAATGGGAGAGCCCGTCTGAGGCAGACAGACATGTGATCCAGCAGAGCCCAGCAGCTCTTTGTTCCCCCCTGCAGCCACTGACAGACGGGACAATAGCACCGGCCACAGCCCCTCCCCTCCCCTCCCACGGCTTTCACTCCAGCCTCCCCATCTCCTGCTCCTGCACCCCATTCATCTCCCACTCCGCAGTTTTACAGAGAGGCAACACCACCTCAGCATCGCATCTATTTAGTTTAAATGGTGGATAAGTGAAGTGGCCCTGATAAATAATGCACTTGCTACTAGCTGCAATGTCTTAAGTTAAAGGTGCACTGTGCAACTTTTCTAGGACAAGATCTGTCAAATACTTTTCTCAGTGGAGATATTATTACAGACTGTTACGGCCCCAGGCCAATTTACTGGTCAGATCTGTGGAGAGGTTACCCCGCACAGCCAGAGTGCCTGTTTTTCCAAGTGTTTTTGAGCTATAAAACCACCTGTACTTGAATACATGTAAGGTAGAGCTGTTTACTGTCATAGTGTGGAACATTCCAGGCAGAGAAATTACATATCCATAGAAACAAGCAGGAGACAGGCCCCCAACCAAAAAGTTACATAGTGTACCTTTAATGTCTCAGCTGGGACATTGAACTTTTCGCAAAGTTAGTAAGTATAATTTAAAAAAAAAGAAAAAAAAAAACTAAAATAACTTGCCAACTGATTACTAACAGTTATACAAAATCAGAATTTGTTGTTCACATGGATGGGTTCAAGTTCAAGAAAATCCCTTACTTTTATGCCTGTCAATGTGAGTTTCAGAATAATGAAAAATTGAGACAGTTGCCAAAGAAATAAACACTTCAAAACAAAATATGCAATCTTTTGAATGGTCAAAAGTCCTCAAAATGACATCAGTAACAGGAAACTGAAACTCCAGTACTTCTTTGTAAATTGTGCTAAAAAAAATGCTGGCTAACTTGCCAAAATGTGACAGCGTCCAAAGTCCATTAAAAAATAGGTCCTTTTAAACTGCTTGCACCAAACCAAATGCATTCTTCACTTTGTTAAGACATTCCTAGCATTGTAATTATTCACTGCATTTGTTTTTCACAACTTTCAGAGGCCAAGATAGAGTTTTGGAGTCACAACTAGCATGCTAATTCACACTTCTTGATTATCATTATCACAATAAAACACTTAATTAGATGCACACAGGAGACAGGATTCTCATTTTGACCCCAAAAACAGCTTTTACAATTTATTTGGGACAAAAAAAATTACATCCCTATGAAAACAATCCATTCAGCACCTTGAAAATCACCATATGGTAAACCTTTTCTTGTAACTACATAGTAGTAAGTCATATTTTAAAAAGCATGCGTGTTTATCTGGACTGTTTAAGCCTACTTTCCCTGAACTCTTCACCTCGTGGTTGCACTTGTGGGCCTTTGCTCCCCTACTCCTTGTGCACAAAGCCTCATTCACACACTGGTCCACCTGCCCTGGCCAAACACACACCCCAAATATTCTGGAGTAACCCTAGAGGAGACGTGACAGATTTAAGGCAAAGCAGTATAGTGACACTTAATGCTTTCAATAATGCATAGGGAATAGCATATAGGAGTGGAAGGTAAGGTATGGAGGGCCCCTTTCCCCCACAAAACACATGAGACCAATCCATTGTCCAGCCAACATCCTCTGTATATGTAACAGGATGTCCCGGACAACTCCGAAAAGCAACTTTAGCTCCCACCACACTTCGCACACCCGTTCCTGTGCATTGTTTCCTACAGCAAGAATGAGTATCGAGGAGGAACTTGGAGCAGTAAATAGGTGAGGACAAAAAAAAACAGGGGCAGAGGCAGAGCGTATGTGGCGATATTGTTGTATAATTGAATGCGAGAGTGACTTGGGGAGACAGAACGTGCTAGTGCGGTGCGTAAAGACAATGGGAGGGGACGGAGGAGAGGAGAGATAGAGGGATGATGGAAGATAATGTGTGGAAATAGGAGCCTATGTTGGAGATTATCTGACCTGACTGAATTCTATAGAGAAAACAACCCTGGCTCCATAGCAAATTATAATAGAGTCCCAACTGATGTCTCTGAACTGAAACAAGATGAATACACTGTCAGGCATAATGGTGGTTAGGTTACCGGTTTGATTCCTGCTCCCTCCTCTGCAAACTGCCCTTGTAGTACCTTCATGCAAGACACTTGCCTGTCTTTGTCTATGTGTACATTGACGTTATTAAATGTGACTGTAAAAGGTTACTAATTCATCCCATCTATTGACAAAAAGACAAATGTAAATAGAAAACTGACTTCAAATTCCTAAAGCATCTAAATCTCTAGCCTGTTTGAGCATGGAGACCAATTGTAAAAAACGCACTTCTGTACAGCTCATATAATTTCCTATCATTTCTTGTATTCCTCTTTCACTCCCTTCTCGTTAAATAAAGCTTAACTAATCAATGAAGTCTTGACTGAGCTACATCTCGGGTTCACAACTCCTGATAACTTGATTAGAGGAGATGACAGATTCCATGCACATTTGGGGCTTAACTTAGCAGAGCATTTTAGGAAACATGCCTCTGAGGCGTGCTAAAATAAGGGCAGCATAATTTGACCATGGGAACTCTGTGTCAGTGACTGTGGGTGCTCTCTGTTGCGAAATTTTACAATACTTTCTTACTTTGCTTTTTTCAGACTCAGGTTTGTATATGGTGTGGAATGTCCATGTGTGTGGCCATCCTTCTGTACGTAACTCCTAATCCATACATAATGAACAATGTATATGATATTCCTCGGTGCGATGACAGAAGTGCTTTTCTTTTCTTTTCACAAATTGTCATTTCGTGGACCCTTATCCGTCCAAAGGGGTTACTTCTACTCTACAGCCTTGTCAAGCTCCTGTTTAGTTGTACTGTACAATTTGGGTCTGGTACGTGCTGACAGCTCCAATGCGGTGGTCCGCTGGCAGACATCTGAAAAATGTACCTGTGTAATTATGGAGCTCTTGAAAATACACATTAGTACATGGAAAAAGTGTGAGTTGGGAGCAGTGGTTAAAGTGTCAGCACAAGCACTACTAGACCAAACATAGACAGTGTTGATATGATGTGTGTTCCAAAAATATTGCCAAAAACAAAATTGGTCTTATCACAACATGTATGAGGTACTTTTGGAATGGAGCAACGTATTCATCACTTTGTTAAGACATTCCCAGCATCCCAATTATTCACTGCAATCAGAGCTTTTCAGAGGCCAACGTGGAGTTTAGTTGTCACGCATCTGCTAGTGACATAGCTCTTAGAGGCTTTTACTCTTCACAGAGAGAAGGTTCTTAAAGTGCGTATGAGAGGTGGAGACTGCTGCTTTTGTTTTATCTGCATGTTTCTTTTGAGCACTTCAGTTGGCCATACCACAAACACTTGTATAATAAGGTTCTTATAAGACAAGGACTCCCTGACTTTTCAATCTCCATGAGACTCATTATTAAATATAAAATAATGGATCTTAAAACACATAAAAATGGCAAATAAAATGTAGGGCTGATACTTGACACCAGTAGAAAGACACTTTTTCAATCCCATTAAGTCAATACCGACTGTCCTGTTTTTCTCTGGACCAACAAGGATGCATGCAAACTCTTCATGCCAAATTCTTGTCATAGTTATTATTTTATTATTTTTTTCCATAGTGATTAAGTTTTGATTTGTTGCATTATTATAAAAAATCCTGAACATGAACGATTTCATTTCCTTCCTCTTAGGTCTGAACTCTGCTTTAAATCATATGCTTTAACTGTCAGAAGGGATCCAGAGCCTCTCCATTAAATAGACCCATGCATATCATTGACAATTAGAAATGACTGAACCGATTAAAATGTGATTTACTGCACAGATATTTGGAGCATAACAGTATGTCCTGGAAAGTTTACGGAACTTGTTTTTTATAACAGATCTTTTTCTGTGGTTATACACTACTCTAAAAGGCTATTCTGCCTGAGTATTATCGAAACTGAATATGGTGTGTGTAATATCCAGTTATTCAACAAGTGTCTCAGGGCAGGGCTTTAGTGTCAATTGTCACAAACAAGGGAAGATATGGAATGGCAGCGGAAACCACGGCGTGTACTGGCTGTTTTGGAGTGCTGCAGTGAAACAGACACTGAGCATATCAAATACAGCCTGTCAGGAAGAGCCTTTGTCTTCATATTGTGAGCCTTGAACAACAGAAGAGGGGACATCCCAGCGGAAGTGTTCCTGTCAGCGTCTACTGTATTCTGTTTACATGATCACCTATAGATTTATGTTACCTTTTTCTATGGTGTATGTGCATCTTTAATGAATTTAATGGCGTGAATGGCGAATGCTTGGCTTGGTGAAAAGCCTTTTTTGTTTCTGTCTTTTAAAATATTATGTTAATCATAACATTATTAGATCAATAGTATGTCAAGCCAAACATTTGCTCAGGCTACACTGGAAAGTTACAAATGGATTGAGTTCCCAACCATGTTACCAACACAGTTTTTATCACCAACAGCTTGTTAGTTTATGGTTTTACATCCAAATTCACCAATAATCGAGCTCCTAATAAGTTTTTGTTTCTAGAAATTACTAGAGCATACACTGTTGTCTGGAAATCAAATACACAAATGCAATTTCTGTCCTCTGTGAAACAGGAAGCTATGCTGGTGTACTGTTAACATCCATTTTTGCTGTCATTACCACTCTGGCCTCTGAAAGTTGTAAAAAATGTTTATCAAATCATTGTGGTGAATAATTAGTATATCAAGCCCAGTTAGGTAAATGAAAAATGAAAACCACTGCAAACAATTAAAATTGACTAGCTATGGTCTTTCACACTTTTAAGGCAATAATTACAGTACCTTTAATCCTCAAGTGGCAACAGAGGTGCTGTCATAGTTTGCAGTAAGCCAAGACCTCACAAGACCTTCCTTCCAGAAGGGCTGTCATAGATTTCTAAACTCTGTATGTTATAAAAGGACGGAAAGGGAACAGCAGGAGTAGCCATAGAGACAAAACATGTTTAAACACTTTTGCAAAACCGGAGCTCAATGAATATGATTATGTCGCTTATTACAAAAGCAGAATTCTTGTCCTGGTTTCCTCAACAACCCCACTTGGATCAAAACATGTGCATTTTGCCTTGTGCGAACTGAGTTAAAACAATTGCTCGCACATCACGACTTTGGCATGTAGCAAGTATAAAAGCTTCAAAGAGTTGTTTAAATTAGAACTGTTGTTTTCCACTCAAACAGAGGCCCGGGGTTAGAGAATGCATTAAAGAGCTGAGCTATGTAGAGCCTGCTCTCCCTCACAATGGGACCAGAAGAGCAGCAAGCCGTTTTAATTGCTCAAGACACTCCACTCTCCGCTCCTACACTTTACACTGCCATATCTACCATTGCACTCTCATTCATCCTGCTCCATTTTCCCTCCCTCTAATTCTTTGGCTTTTAGGCCTTTATCCCATCCAACCCTCCTCTGTGAAACCTGCTAACTAATTCATCTCCAGACAAATTGCCAATCAGCCGTGGACAAAGAGGAGAGGAGAAAAGAGGCAGGTTCTCAATAGGGCCGATAGCTGTTTTACTAAACTCTGCTTCACAGGGTAGGGGGGTGGAGAGCCTTCACATGTGTGTCTCTGGCAGGACATTTAGAGGGGGGTGGGGGGTATGTATGTGTGCATGTTTGTTCATTAGACCCCTGTGTGTCCACGTCACCCCCCACTGCCAGGGTTCACTGTTTGTGTATGCATAGGTTAACGACCCCACCGTCCAATCGCATTCTCCAATCGGGGCCCCGTCGCCAACAGCAACAGGTGGTCCGGCCAATTGGAGTCCTGCAGAGCGGAAAAGTGGAGGAAGAAAGGGAGGAGAGGATGAAGGATGGAGATTGAGAGAACGGATGGGGAAAGAACAGAGATTATTCAAAATGATATGCTTTTCTTGACCACTATTTTATTGTGATTAAAAATAATTCAGTAATGACGCAAATATTATTTCAAAATATATTAAAATTAAAGAGCCAAAAAGTCATCTAATCCCACCGCACTTTGGATGATACAAGTCAACACACTCCAGAACAACATGAACATCAACTACTTGACTATCAATGTTTTTTATACTTTTCTGGACACAAACCAGCATAGCTACAAATGTCCTGAGGCAAAGTAATAGAAATGTGGCAACCATTATGTTCCTATGGGCCCATTGCGAAATTTACAAAATGGCTCAAGACAGAAATGCAAAAAAACTGTGAGGAACGGGATTCTATAACTACAAATATTCTGGCTTTGTTACTCTCACCATCTTCTCTGACGTAATTCACGAGGATTGTTTAAATAGTTTCATTTACACTTACCAGTCAGAAGTTTGGGCACACCATTTCTTTCAAAGTTTATACTACTCTCTACATTTTAGATTCATACAGAAGACATCAAATATATGAAGCAAGATATATAGAAATATGCAGCAAAAAAAAGGGAAATCTAAATTAAATCAAATCTTTTGACCAGTGACTAGTGTACATTCATAATTTGTATAGTGCATTTTAAGATCCCCAAAGTGAATTACATTGGTGAAGTGTCTTAGCCAGGCTGGCGCCACCTAGTGCCACCACTCAATTTCATTTCTCTCCAGCGACTAGGTAAAGAATCAGAATACACTACACAGTATACAAAAACCCCAGAAGTGCGAGTCTGGATCAGAGAAGAGCCATACATTCTGTGTTGCCAACGATTCCCGAGATTGAGGTTTTAAAGCTGGAACAAAGAGAATGTTCGGTGAATTTTATCAAGGGGAAAGATGTTATTGCCCTTCTTCCTATGGGATTTGGGGAAAATGTAATATACCAGTTAGCCCCGTTAGCAGCGCATTAAATAAGTCACGACCAAATAGCAGAGATTGGTTAAATAAAAAAAGTACCCGCCTACCACTGAGTGAACAAATTCAAATGCTGCGAGGTTAGACGGTGTCCACGAAGTGAAACCAGCTGAAGTGTCTTGCCTATGGACACAACAGTATGCACTAGAGCAGACATGTCCAAACTATGGCCTGTGGGCCAAATGCGGCCCTCAGACAAATTTTTTTTGGAACCCAGGCTTCCAGGTGAATTGGCCCATCAATTAAAAATTTACTTTTTACTGCAAGTTTTTTTTTTTTTATCTACCTTGCTAAAGCCTAATATTTAACATTTAGTGTGTGATTTTAAAGATCTTAGCGCAAAAAAAGATTGATGGCTCATTCTAACCTGTTAAACATGCACATATTTCTCCATCTCCAGTCTATGGCCCTCGATTGGCCCTCTGCTTCTTCTGTGTTTAGAGATGTGGCCCTTGATGAAAAAAGTTTGGACACCCCTGCACTAGAGTCATTGCTGTGCCCACTGCAGAACGGTCTTAGTAATTACTAACAAGCCCCAATCAACGTTAAAGTTAAGCCACACTTTATTGTCCCTATAGGGAGAGTTGTCCTCTGCATTTGACCCAAGCAAAGGGTCAAGGTGGTATGGCTAACTTTTTGGAGCATATTTTCTAGGCTTTGCCCCAAGAGATTTTCATAACATTTTTGCAGAGAGAGAAATAATGAAGATAAGATTGTGAATAGAGATTTATCTCAGTAATGACACACTAACTCGAAACTCTTTCCATAAACTTGCCTTTGTCCTTATTGGGTTATTTCTCATACAAAGATCCTCTGATACACGACCCTAATAAATTGGATCACTGCTAATGGTTGGGTTGAATATCTCATCATCGGGGACAACAGCCTGGGTGCGTCATGTTTTATTGTCAGACTATTACCGCCTAATGGATTGTGAAGCATTGCCTGTCTCCCATCTACTCATTATTGATTGAATCTGAAATGCCAAGAAAGCACTCACAATTCCAAGACTGAGACATTTTCCAACCCAGACAGCTAGACCAGACATACAGCACAAAGTCTCTATTAGAAGAGATTATATGTGATCATTTAGGTCGAACATTTGAGGATTTGCTTGCAGAAAATGTAGAAAAGTGACACAAAAACATATCTGTACAAGGCTTGTCATAGTCATTTTCAGGAATTGTGGTTTAATGTTGTGGTTACAAAACAAACTTGAGTGATGTCAAAGATGGGTGACATGCCCAAAAATAATATCCCAATTTTCTTAGCACTGTTGACATTAGATCACTGCCAGTCACTCACTCACTCAGAGTGGGAAGAAGCTGACCAATAGGAGCAATGGACATCAATCACCATTTTAGTGTCATCAAGCTTAAAGATGCACTGTGTAAGTTGTCTGTTGGAGGGTCCGTCACCTGCTCCATCTGTCTCCATGGAGATATGCCTAGAATGTTCCACAGTATGGCCATAAACTTACAAACCTCCATGAAGATTTGATTTGAGAAGCTAAATGACAGGTTATATTTGTGGAGAGGCGACCCCACTCACAGTAAGAATGGATGTTTTTAAGATATTTTTGCATAATAAATAACAGCTGTAGTTGAGTAAATGCAAGACAGATTAGTTTAATACAGTACTGTGGACAACTTAAACCAAAACATTAACATCTCCATGGACACACAGACAAAAACAGGTCCCCCCCTCCAGAAAAGTTACACAGTACAAGTTTAAATAGAACATTTCAAAATAAAACCACCCCCTTTCTTAAGAGCATGTTAAAAAGTCATAATAAAACACAAAAGGGGACAAAACTCTTTTCACTCTGTGACATTGACTGACATAATTAGTTTTGCTCAACTATTGTATACATTGTCAGAAATGGACAGTGCATTTTACTTGTCAGAATACTCACATATAGCACTGCGAAATTAATAACATTTTAATCTTGATCAAGATAATGTCATTGGTAATCAAAAAGGTCTACAGCTAATCCTCTGTCAGCAAGTGTAGTTTAGGGCAGAGTTCACTTGAAGAACTAAACTGGATTTATGTATTGTTTGGGTCGAAGCTCAAGATTGGTCAATATGAGGGAAAAAAATTATGTCACTGTCACATCTCCCAGCCCTTTCCACATATACCACATACCACACAACCACCAATAATCCACTATGACAAAGCAGCTACCGTCCTTATAACCTCTAGATCTCTTTAAGCAGCAATTAAGCAGTTACCAGAGCCTTGAAGGGAAGACAAAGGGAGAAAGGCGGCATTAGTCTGGGACCAGTGCCTCTGTCTTGTTAGCCACAGTGCCACTCAGGGTTCAGCGGACGTTTGATCATTAACTTTGAGCGTAGCCAGACATGCAGTAAAAACCTGGCACCCACAGCCTTTTCATGTCCACTCATTCACTTTTATAGGGGCCGTCATATTTGTGTGCCCTGCCTGCTATTTGCTCTGCAGGTGAACTTGTGTCTCCTTATGGTATACAGTTACAATCTGGTGTCTCCAAAGTAAACCACTCCTATTCCCAAGTATAAGCACAAGAGAGCTATAGGAGGAGGATAGGGGGGTAGAGTATCACTAATGCAAGTACAGTATTGTATTCAACACATGTCCAAGGGGGAGGAAACATGATTTGGCATGGTTATAAGTTTCACGTGAGGGACAAGAAGTATGTGGCAAAAAAGTTTTCTTACTTGAAATTGTATATTATATGGAAGCAAATAAAACTACCTTCAATGTTGGTGATAGTAGTTGTATATTTCCAGGTGATATTTTCAGGACTTTTTCCCGTTCAAAAGATATTTTGTTTTAAATTGTTAATTATGGAAATAGCCGCAAATGGACTGAACCAGGATTGAACCAGGACAAAAACAGGACCAAACCAAGTCTAAACCAGGTCTAAACAGGGCCAGAGGTGTGCCCAGGACCAGACTGGGACTGAGACCAGAACGTGACCGGGACGAGACCAGAACTGAGACTGGGACCAGACTGGGACCAGACCAAGACTGAGAACAGTTTAGTACTGGTTTAGTCCTGGT